CCGGCCACCTGGAGAACGGGACCAGGAGGACCGACCCCGGCCCGCGGCCCCGGCCCCTGCCTCGGAAGGTCTCGCAGCTGTGAGTCACGCCCGCGGTCACCTGCGGTGACTTCTCTGCCGTTTACAGGAGAACGCGAAGTATGAGGAGAAGACGGTTAGTGTAGGCACTTTAATCACTTAGATCTGTCTCGAAACGAGTGGAATGAAAACTCGCTTATTAATATGATGTTGCACAATAGTAAAAGTTACTGACCTAGAGCGCCAGATGTCCCATGAAGTATGGCTGCATTTCATTAAAGCGTTTTCTCATTTGAAAGTGGTGAACAGTGATAAAGACTTCTTTTGTATCTTTTTATGTTCGCTTTTTTTACATAGTTTAATGTTCAAACAGTTCGACAACGTCTTGTCGAACCATAGGACACGTGATAATGTTATATACTTTCTACTGAATACTTGATACTCCGAGAAAGCTTATTAAGTCGATGTATACAGCCTAACACATCGGTCCTTACTTTAGAAGACTTTTGGAAGTCCGGTGAGATCTCTGGCTCCTGCCACAAGCAGACTGACGGACGCAGGTCATCAGCGTGAGAAGGTAGAGCAGGCCGCTGAGACCGCACGGAGGGGGTCGCAAGGACTCAGACTGGGAACCGTCTTGTTCTTAAATACGTCCCTAAGGTTGCTTTTGACATAGGACAGCTGTCTGCATTCTCAAAGCTACTTTGTGAGCTGGTTGGTGAACGCTTTAGTATGCCGCCGCCATGGTATCTACTGTATTTCTTTTCAAGGTGCAATTTACTTTCAGAGTAAAGATTAAGCAGAATTGGGCAGATTCGGTCAAAGACCCCAGAAGTGTTTACTTGAATCTCGCGCTTCCTGACTTGACCGTTTCCTCTACCAAATTTGTCATTGACGAAGAGCAGACGTCCGTGTATTAAACAGGCACAAATTAATGTGTTCCATTAACAAGAATTCAGGAATCAATGCAGGACAGTATTAAATCAATGGTGTAAATGAAGGGAAAAAAACCTTAGAGAAAATACATTAGCATGATTAAATGGCAGAAGGACTAGCGAAAGGCAAGGGCATTACCTTTCAACCCTGCACAAAATAAAGGATTCCCCACCAATCCCCATTCTTTCCCAGGAGGATGGCTGTGGACCGCTCTAGCTTGAACATTGCAACACAGCGTCTTAGATCTAGAAGCGGATTCAAATGGCACAGTGTAGGAATGTAACAAAAGCACCTTGTATGTAGTAATGTATTTTGTATCTTTGTTTTTTCTTTTACTGACTGTTTATAACACTCAATTGACGATAGATATGAACTGTATTTTAAATCATACCGTTAAATATTTTCCCTCTTTTGTTGGGAAGCTCATTTTAGTTTTGCCGTCTGTGTTTTTGTTGATAGCTTACCTGGAAGGCAGTGACCACTTTTTTATATTCCCTTAATGAAACCATTCAGCAGGTATACGCTGTTGAGGCTGGTTATAGAGGTTTTCTATAATAAATGTTCAAGTATTTTTGTACATAACTGGTTAATTTTAATAAGAGATACCATTATGTGTAAAAAAAAAAAAAAACAGTAAAAATAAAAGCAAACAGTTGTTGACGCAGTATGATTGTTATAATTATGCCAAATACTTTATGTATGGAAAAAGAATATTTGTACATATGTGCTTTTAACAATAATTCTGCCATATTGACTTTACAATTTTGAATGTCAGAAAAATTAATATATGTTAAAATATTTATGTTTAGTGAAGGTATTCATAATTGAGAAAAGGAACATATAAATTTTAGCTTTGTATCTTGCAAGTTTTGCAGTTGGAAATTTCTTGAACTAGCTTTTGCTTTGATGATAACACTTTGTATTTGTAATCACACCCTTAAAAAAATATATATATATATATAGATGTATAGGAAGCTCCATATTTCTGTTGCTTTAAAGAAGTAAAACCTTCCATTTAAATAAGGCGACATGCATAAGATAACAAAGCTTCTTTGTTTTCCTCTGTAACTTAATAGATTTGTTGACTAGTGCTTGGGCACAGTATAAATCAGTGTTAATTGCTCTTGAAGCCATTTTTTTAAAAAAAAATTTTTGCAATGAACAGTTTATCACGTGCGTGTATTTCTGAAGCAGCTATATAGCAGAACATTTCAAGAGATTCTAGTAGCTCAGATGTTCATGTTGGTTGCTGCTGAATGGTAAATATTAAATAAAATTACCTGATTAATCTTGAGATTTCTGTCTTTATTCATGCCATCAGTACATCTTTACCTGGAACAGAAGCTGTGTAAATTTATTGGTTATATCATAGTGAAAATTTCAGACTTCTTCGCTGATAGATCCCGTTTTGTTGTTATGCTTTGGTTAATGCACTTCTCAACCTACGAAGCTTATTTATGCCATAAGAACAAATGTTGAAAAGGTAACAGGGTGGGTTAACATCAGTAGAAACAGCAACATTTACCTGGGTGGCCAACCATTAATCAGTCTAACCAGAATCAGTTTAACAAGTCAAATCATCAAAGGTTGTTTGCGTTAGAAAACTTGACACAAAACAAATAACTACCAAGTGTAGGAAATATCTGACAAACACTACAAAACACACTACAAAATTTCTGTTAATGAGGCCCGGCTTTTAATTTTGTGAGATGCTTCTATGCTATGTTGGCTTTCTGACATTTCTGTAACTCAGTGCTAAGTAAGCCATTGTCTACAGCCTCTGTCCCGTCAAATACTAAACCCATTTAAAGGCCATTGCCAATGTCCTGATTGTTTCTCAGCATTAACTAAGTGATTTTAACATTTTTGGATCATTTTCATTACAACCGAGCCCATAAGTGTTTCGATTCTACAAGCGTAATTACAATATGAACAGCTCTGCTCTGCTGTCTTCGGCTTCTCTCTGGATCCTTATTGATTGTCCTACAAAAGAACAAGGAAGAGAGTAACAAGTTGCAGAGTTTTGCCTTTATTTGATCTTTACACATTGAAAGGTGGCTTGTACCAAAATGAATCTTAGTATTGACTGAAATAAACCTTGCCCTCATCACATAAGAATACCATACAAAGAGTTTTAAACACTGAGAGAACACCAATTACTTAACATGACTAATGTTATTTTTATATATTCCTTTTGTCTCTGTCTACATCTACATATTGCATAACTTTTCTGTATTGTTGAGTGCTGGTTCCCAAAGCATCACAGCGCAATCTGCTGATAATACAGAGCTGTGTTCACTGTCCTATGCCATAGAGAAAGCACCCTCTCAACAGGGCTGGGTAGTGTCTCCGAGGGGGAAGGACAAGGTCAGATGTCATTGAAATTTGGGGGCACATTTTCAATGAGCAGGCCTTGAGATGGGGTAGAGATCATGATGTCATTATTTAGGGGTTCAAAGAGTCTTGGGGCAAGCTGTTAGCTGGTTCTTTCCATTAGCGATTTGATGGGTCCGAGTTCCTCGTATGAACAATAAAGTTATTTGCCTGGCCAAGAAACTCCTGGAAGAGTAAAGTTATGCTAATAAACATTGGAATAGTGAAGTCACGTTCATGTAGACATAAGCTGTATGGAGTAGATGATGTCAGTGTTCAACATGTATGATTTACAAAGTTGTAATCACAGTGGACGGACTACCCTTATTCTTTGTTTAATATTACAGTAAGTATATATTTTCACATTATTGCATGCATGTAAAAAACAAAGTATGTATTCCACACTTTAGCCCTTCCCCTGTTAATGGACCTTATGTTGTTTTGAGTTTTTCATGAGTACAAATAATATAGAGAGCTTTTTCCCTGTTTCGGATTATTTCCTTAAAATGGATCCCTAGGTGAGGGGATGATTTTTATAGTTCTCTTGCATATTGACAAATTATTTCCCAAAAGTGTTGTACCAATCCTAGCGCCACCAACGATATTTTTCCAGGATTGGATATTGATGCAGTGTGTTTTTCGCTACGTGGGAAGAAAATATTGCGACCTTACCCCAAATTTAAGAAAACGTTAATAGCCAATTAAGTATTTTACAAAATCATGTGCTAAGGAAATTGATAGGTTCATAAAGGAAATGAAAAGGAGAGACGAGAAGACAGTGAAGTAACCAGCATTAGCATTTGCTACAGCAACCATTGAAAATACTTCATCCCTGAGCGAGGGGAAATAGCTAGGCACTTTCGGCCCTCTGTATATAATACTAGAAAATCCCAACGTTCTTAGCACGAGAACCGTGTTGTTTATGCAGAGTTTACCACTGACATTCACAAATAGTGACATGAAAACCTAGGAGTGAGGACTGAGGACCCAAGCACCCATAATAAATGCCACAGTCTGCTGAGGGGACTGGCCCAGAGAAGACGCTGATGACATGCCTGATGCGCCCGAACTTACAGGGAAATTCTGCTTTTGTAAGAGCTGAGGAATGGATGAGACAGGGACCTAGAGAGCTATACAAGGAAAAAAAGTTAGTTCCAGAGAATGAATCATGCTTATATCAGAAAGTAAATATATAGTATACTATTGTGTACTATGGGTCCGCTATATGTAATAGTTACATAGGCATGGAAATGTAAAATATATTGATCTAACCCTAAATTATATCTAAAGGATGAGGATAAGGAAGAAATGTATGTGTATGGAAAATAAATTCTCATTTTCCACATAGGGATCATAATAGATAATGCCCGAAATTTAGTGACAATCAAAAAGTAGCTATTTAAGATCCTTTTTATTTAGGGAGATGTGGGTAAACATTAATAACTTCTAAAACAGAATAATTGCCTTGGGGGAGAGCGAACAGCTGCGGGAAGGGTGCAGGCCGCTCTCCCTTGTCACAGTGGCTTTATGGAACCGTATGCACGGATGGCTGCGATGCATTCGGAAAGACTAAAAAGGCGGTTTCTACGCGATCCAGACCCCCTCACACTGGTGTCACGTCTCCCGCTTCTTTTTCCCCTCCGCTGTAGGACAGCAGAGCCGGACCTGGGCCTTTCCGAGAAGCACGCAGAGTGGGCGCCGGAGCATCTGCTTGACGGGCGCAGCGGCAGGTGCGGAGTGAGGGGCGGGGTGTCTGGCGAACGGGCCGGTCAGGCGGGTCAGGCGGGTCAGGCGTTGGTTCGCGGGGCAGACCCTCGTTTTTCAGCAGCAGCACGAAGTGGCCATCGAAACGGTTTTTAGACTGAGTTCTAAACGGAACTCCTCGATATCGCCAGTTTGCCAGTTCCTCTGGTGTCGATAGTGGGGATTTTCTCATTCTGAAAAAAGCACACACGTGTCTTGGTGTGACTGGGGAACAAAAGTCAACAGCTCCAGGTTATTTCCTGCCAAGAAGGGAAAACTTGGCGACTACGTGGTGAGCCGTTACCCGGGCTTCAGGCCTGCCATGTAGCACGTGGCAGAGGGCCTCCTGGGACAGCGCGGCCGCTCCGGTCCCTGCCTCGCCAGTACCATGTACCCACATCCTCATTCCACACCCAGAGGAAGAGCAGCCCCTCCCCCGCCCACCACAGGAGCAAGCTTTCCACCCAAGGGTGATCCCACCTCACCCCTCCCCTCTGATCCCTGCTTTACCAGTGAGTGGGGGGGGCGGGGGGGGGGGCATGACTGTGACCTTTGACCTCACTCACCCAACCAAGAGGATGACTGGGCCCAAAGGCAAAAACAAATATAACTGAGTATCACCAACTTCAGATAAATTCCTTTTTCTCTCTTTCTCTCCTTTTTATTCCCTTTGATATGGCAAATTTCTAAGCTTAAGAATTTATAAAAAGTTGGCAGAATTCACTGTATTAAATTTTAAAACTTATGTGAGTCAAAGAAAAATATAGCCAAGATAAAAGAGCAAACAGCAGACTGAAAAATCATGCCTTTCAAATATGACAATACCTTTATAAAGAGTTCATCTCAACTGCTTTAAAATAAGACTGTTGCAAGGGATACGTATTGGAAAGGAAAGGCGGAAATATGTTAATAGGCAAATAGGTAATTGAGAAGAAATGAAGATAAACGCGGTAAAATTGACCAAACTACTAATCAAAGAAAAATGAAAACAATGAAGTAACATTTATTGCTTATGAAATTAGCTAAAGGTATTAACTGACAGTACTCAGTTCTGGAAAGAGCATGGTAAAAGTTGGACTCATTCATAATAGGTGGTGACCCTACATTAGGATAACTTTTTTGCATGCAATTAGGTGATATGGATCAAGAATCTAAAAATTGGTCCTGTTGTTTGAGCCAACGCTCTGTTACTGAAAATCTACACTTAGAAAATATTTCAGAATGGGACATAAGTATATTGAGAAACAAAAGGCAAAAATTTTAAGTCATAAAAATGTTAGTATAAAGATGATTACGTGAAATATAACACATCCAGTCCACAGAGTGGTGTACGCTATTTTAAAAACATATTTTTGAAGACTGGTAACAAGAAGGCAAAATTCATAGTGTATAAAATGAGAAGAAAAGCAAGATTGCTCCCGAGCCCAGCACAGGTGGCACTAACATTGGCTTGCACTAGAGTCCCTCACTAGGGAATCCAGAACCAACACACTTAGTGTCCAGCCTCAGACCACACTGGAAACCACCCGACCAGCTCCACAAATGACACACCCAAAGGTCAGGCTTGGCTGATACCAGAGCCCCCACAGAACAGCTTGTCCACTGTAATCCTAACCAGCCTTCACGGCCAGTCAACCTGAAGGTCAATCACAGCCACTGACGTACCAACAGGAATCAAGGCTTAACTACGACAGGAGGGTACACACAACCCACACAGAGCCCTGTAACCCTGGCTCAGGTGACCATGGAGACTGCACCATTGGGCCCCACGGGACACCTACTACGTAAGGCTACTCTGTCAAGACCAGAAAACATAGCATATCTACTTAATACATAGAAACAAACACAGGGTGGCAGCCAAAATGAGAAGACAGAAACAAGTCACAAATGAAAGAACAGGACAAACCCCAGAAAAAGAACTAAATGAAATAGAGACAAGCGGTCTACCAGATATAGAGTTCAGAACACTGGCTATAAGGATGCTCAATAAAATTAAGTGAAGAATAGATAAACTCAGTGAGAACTTCAACAAAGAGATAGAAAACAAAAAAGGAGATAAAAAACGTAAAACGGAACCACTCAGAAATGAAGAATACAACAACTGGAATGAAAAAAAATACATTACAAGGGATCGATAGCAAATTAGATGAAGCAGAGGATTGAATCAGTGATCTGGAG